AGTGTGATATTTTTATTGAGCTAATGTAGCTCATTCCCTCCCCTATTAACCATTTCAGGTCAAGAAGACCAAAATCCATATCATAATCAGCAAAAAAGTTGTGAGTAGGTGTCTCCCCGGATCCTATCAAGAACAAATAGAGGTTAACCTCCCTACAACATTTATTTACTATTTTCATATGTTATTACGTTTTTTGTTTTATTAACCACTGTGAAAAGGACATTTTTGTAGCCCTATTGGGCATACTAATTTATGTGTAAGAAATATAAACTCTAACGTTATTATACGCTTCTGCATTTAATTTATGATCTTGTTTCCATTTAAGTTCTGGGTCTCTACAATCGGTATTAGAGTTGCGTTCCTCGGAACCATTCCTTACACAAAGACCTAAGGAAACACCAAAAAAATAAATTATCACTCAACCATTTCTTGTAAAATGCAGGTACAGAAAGATGAAGAGAGGAAGACCACCATTAAATCGAGCAGCCCGGGAGGGTTTGTTTCGAGAGGATGTTAACTAACTATTTGAAATGCTGGAGAGACTCATCGCTACCCAGCAGGCCCGGGAGGAAATGAGGGAGCTACCTGACCCTCCTCCACTGCCACAGTTTAAGCCACCCCTATAGCGGGAGGATTCTGAGCCACCTCGGTACAACCCTACTCCTCCACAATACCATCCGACACCACCACAGTATAGTCTGGTGTCCCCACTGCATCACCCGGCACCACCACAGTACAAGTCGGTGCCTCTATCGTATCATCTAATACCACCACAGGGCCATCCGGTCCCTCCCCAGCACAATCCAGTCCCTTTTCCATAGGACCCAGTTCTACCCATGATGGACACAGACTACACTGAGAGGTACAAAAGATTAAACTCATCTACTTTTACAGGGGTATCCTCCTTTGAAGATGTTGAATACTAGTTAGCTGAGACAGAGAAAGCTTTCATGACTCTTAGGGTAGTTCTCGAATAGAGAGTTATACTTGCCACCTACATGCTGGTAGGAGAGGCAGGTTGTTGGTGGCAGCTCAAGCAGGCCACCCTGCCTGTTTTAGTCACTTAAAAATAATTCTTGATGGCCTTCAATACAGAGTACCTTTTAGAGCATCTCCAACATCTGAAAAAAAGTGGAGTTTGCACGCCTAGTCTAGGGTGATATGACTGTGTCAAAGTATGCCCAAAAGTTCTTAAAATTTGGTTGGTATTCCCCTGAAAGCATGATGGATAAAGACAGAAAGGCAAGAAAGTTCAAGTGGGACCTCCATCTTGAGATTAGACAACAGTTGTATATGTTCGAGCTCAGTACTTACTCAACCGTTCTGGCCAAGGCACAGCTAGTGGAGAGTAACCTTCGTATTTTTCCTCCAACAATGGGGAACCTCAGGCCTCCAATTTTACACAACAGATCAGCACTCACTGCACCTATTCAACAGAACAAGAGACCTAGGCCAGCGACTCAGGCTCCTCCTCATATTTCAGTAACATGACGTGGTAGGACTTGCTAGTTCTGTGGAGAAGATCATGGGGACCGACCTTGCTATCGCCTCAACAATACTTGTCGTATATTTAGGAGTGTCCAGCACTATGCGAGAGAGTGCCCAAAGAATTAGAAATAGACCATACCTCCTATTTAGGGCATAGCTTACAACCTCATTCAACAAGATGCAGAAGCTAACCCAAACGTGATACAGGGTACATACACTGTCTGTAATCATCTTGCACATATTTCGATTGATACTAGTACCTCACATTCATTTATCCCACATGTTTTTACACCAAACTTGAATATATTACCTGAAAGACTTAATTCTGTATTGTTTGTATCTACTCTTGGGAGTAGGACACTACTAGGAGAGGTTATCTACAGAGCTTGGATCATAGATATAGTAGATAAAAAATTGAGTATGGACCTAATAGAGATTGAGATGGGGAACTTTGATATAATCCTATAAATGAACTGGCTAGCGGCATATCACGCTACCGTAAATTGCTTTCACAAGAAACTTGTATTCAACTCTCCTAATGAAGAGTCATTTACAAATTAATAAAATTTTTAAACATTATTCCCTCACGGCAATTTTCCGACAACAAAGTGCTTTAACTCGGTAGTTTTCTCTAACTAGGCAAACCTAAGAAAGAAATTTACATTTGAGAGATTCTGGTAGTTCAAGACTTTCTGGATATGTTTCCTAATGAACTACTCAAACTACCAGTAGACAGAGAAGTTAAATTCACTATATATCTTTAGCCACACACCCAGCCTATCTCGATTGTCCCTTACCGCATGAGACATGTTGAGATAGAAGAGCTGAGAAAACAGATCAATGAATTGCAGGATAGTGGGTTTATCTGACATAGTGTGTCCCCTTGGGACACTAGAGTCACATTTGCAAGGAATGAGGATGGGATGTTAAGGTTATGTATTGACTACACAGAACTGAACAGGGTCATGATCAAAAACAAGTACCCCCTCCCCAGGATCGATGACCTTTTTGATAAGTTAGAGGGTGCCCAGATCTTCTCCAAAATAGACCTACGTTCAAGTTACCATCAGGTAAAGATCAAGGCAGAGGACATTCCCAAAACAGCTTTCCAAACCATATACGGATACTATAAGTTCCTGGTCATGCCATTTGGACTAACCAACGCGTCAATCGTCTTTATGGATTTGATGAACAAGATTTGTAGACAATTCCTAGATCAATTTATTATTGTATTTATCGATGATATCCTAATCTATTCAAAAAAATATAGAGGAACACGTTCACCATCTGACTCAGGTTTTGTAGGTTCTCAGAGAAAAGAAGTTGTATGCAAAATTGAGGAAGTGTAGGTTCTGGCTCGAATAGACTACCTTCCTAGGGCATATCATATCAAGGGATGGAATATCAGTGAACCCCGAAAAAGTTGAGGCAGTGCTTGGTTGGGAGAAATTGACCTTTGTTAAGGAGATTCGTAGCTTTCTGAGAATAGTAGATTATTACCGCAGGTTTGTAAATAGATTTTCTATCCTAGCTACTCCTTTGACCTAGTTCATAAAGAAGAACGTCAAGT